CCCCCCCCCCTTTCCCGAAACCCAAGGCTCAATACCGCACATTTTTTCACATCCCTGAACTATATTAATATACTAATGATTAAACCGCTTTTAAACCACAGATTAAATTAACCAACTATTTCACAGAAAAAACAAAATAAAATATTACGCATCAAAAGCACTTGCGATATATTTAAAAAAAATTGAATATCATTTAGCGCAGTAATTGCGAATTTGATTTCTTGAAATCAGTGTCATCATATATCCTTTTTGATGGTGATGGAGGGGGCTGACAATGCGAAAGGATGTTTTGTCATTGAAAACGAGTCTATCTGAAAAGTTTCAGCTTGATAGGTTGACAAGAAGTAGGTCAATTAGCTGTCCGTATATTTTGCCCTTAACTGACAAAAGTGAAGTTAATATAAAGGATTTTTTTAAAACATAGAATTTGAGGTATCAGTGTTTAAAAAATGTAACAAAATTACAGAAGCCATAGATCGTGAGAAATGAACTAGACTGGCACTTGGCGCTTTTTGAAATCTGATTTGATGGAACCCTGCACTGTCTAATTCCACCCTGTTATGGTGACCTCCTGTTATGATGACACATTTTTCTGTTGGTATTTCTGCTCTGGCAACACCCTGCTCTGGTCACACCATGTTCTGGTGGCCCTCTGTTCTAGCCTTACCCTGATGTTTGACACCCCTGGAAGCCTGCTTACGTCGCAGCTTGATAGCATTGGACTCTTATTTTAACACGCTGATCTGATGGCACCCTTTTCTCGAGGCACCTTGTTCTAGTGGCACCCTGCTTCAGTGGCACCCTGCTCAAATGTCAACCTGTTTTAAGGCAACATGTTCTGGTGGCACACTTTTCTGGTGGCACCCTGCTCAAATGTCACCATGTTCTGGTGGCACCCTGCTCAAATGTCAACCTGTTTTAAGGCAACATGTTCTGGTGGCACACTTTTCTGGTGGCACCCTGCTCAAATATCACCATGTTCTGGTGGCACCCTGCTCAAATGTCACCCTGTTCTGTGGCACCCTACTCAAATGTCACCATGTTCTGGTGGCACCCTGCTCAAATGTCACCATGTTCTGGTGGCACCCTGCTCAAATGTCAACCTGTTTTAAGGCAACATGTTCTGGTGGCACCCTTTTCTGGTGGCACCCTGCTCAAATGTCACCATGTTCTGGTGGCACCCTGCTCAAATGTCACCCTGTTCTGTGGCACCCTACTCAAATGTCACCATGTTCTGGTGAAACCCTGCACAAATGTCACCATGTTCTGGTGGCACCCTGCTCAAATGTCACCATGTTCTGGTGGCACCCTGCTCAAATATCACCCTCTTCTTGTACTGAACTGTTGTGAGCATGGGCGCCCGCAGAAAACTTTCCTGGGGGGGGGGCGAAAAAAATCGATTAACTTTCT